TCTTATACGTTCTCATATTTTTCAAGACTTTCAATTAATGCGCTTTACTTTGCATTGAAACCCTATTAGAGCAAAAGAAACGTCTATTTTCTCTCTTAATAATTTAATTTCTGGTTTGATCTTATCAAATCAAAGATCTTTCTTAATTGCCCTTCCGCTTTCAGCTAGTGTCATAAATTGATTCTAAAGTTCATTATTGAAACTTAAGCTTTTCTCGTTCCCACCTGAGCTAAAACGGCTTTCACTTCTGATTTCCATATCACTTATCCCCACAAGCTAAAGAGAAACCTGCGATTTGCCTTTGTAAATACACAGATACACACACACACACACACACACGCATACTTGCATCTTAACACACTCGCACACACTCACACTCACTCACTGCTGAAGAAGAATTTCGAGTTTTCGTATCTGTTCTTGACTTTGATTTCTGAGAGTTCTTTTTTTCCGTAGACTTTTGTTGTTTGTCCTTCAATAATTGAGATAGATATAAACGAGATATTTACATAGGCCCGATTTTCGTGTGAATTTCCAATTAAGTGTGAAGTTAATAAAACAAAAACAAGAAAATTATAAAAATAAAAACCAAAATGGGGGAAATAGAGAGGAAATTAAAACAAAGGAAACCATTTCAAAGCGAGAGCCGCTGGCACAAATTGCGCGCATATGCAAATTGTTATGAATTATTGTGTACTTTTGTAAAACTTTTTGATATATATAATATAGTTAACATGAATAGATGCCTAAATAATAAATTAAATGTTAATTTATTTAAATGTAAACAATAAAGAAAAGGAAAGCGAGAAAAAATGCTAAAATATCTTCAACTAGTTGAAAATGGTAAATCGATAATGATGATGATGATGATGATGATGATGATGATGATAGTGTTATTTAACGATATTACGTATATGATATATATATATATATAAATGGTATCTGGGTATACGGATCGAGCATGAAATTACTTTACAGCAAAAACATTTACATTCAAAGTTTTGTGTACAAAAACAACAAAAACAAAAAGAAAAACATTTTTGGACATTTCATACTCTCGTAATGTTAAAGCTCATATGCGAATACTTGAAACCCAATAAAAAAAAACACAAAAAATCGAAATCAATACAAATAATTAGCACGAAAAAATATTATAAATAATAATAATAATAACAATGAAAATCGAGTATAAAAATAAATACAATAATTTTTGTAAACTCTCAGCTGCTACAACAAGAACAACAACAATAGGCAGCTGAGCAAAGGAAAACAACAACAAGAAGTCAAATGATAAAATGATAAAAAAAAATGTTATGGCAAGGTAGCAATTATTTTTTACAAAACCAAAGAAAAAATCCCAAAAAAAAATTATATATATAAACTATTTAATGTATGTAAAATTAACAACAAAAATAATGAAAATGAGAAAAAATTTTAACATGAGGAAAAACCAAAAAACAAAAACACAAAATTCTTTTTAGGCCACCCCAAAAAAAAAAAAAAGAAAAAAAAGTAATATTACATAATTTATGTGCCAAGCGAGAGAAAATTATTCCATGTATCGTATTTGATATCAACAACAAAGCGAGCACAGAAAAAAAAACTGAGATGAAAAACAAATTATAAATATATTAAAAACAAAATAAGAAATAAAAAACTCATGTCACAGAAAATAAAAATAAAAACAAAAATTGAAAACATGTCAAATACTCTTAGCAAAAGCATTTTGAATGTGCGTGTGCAGAGCCCAGGCCCCGGACCTACTCCCAGTTCAAGTATGCCCACACCCCCAACAGCCTCCTCCCCTCACACACCCCCCAAGAGTCTCACCCAGATGCCAACGGACATTCAAAGTTTGTTAGTTAATTAATGAAAATGAGAACTTATTAAGAAAACAGCTAAGAACTTTAAAAACTCAAACTGAAATCTTCTGTACTTGTTAATTAACAACAACAACAACAACAAAGCCATAAATATATAAAAAAAGAAAAGTTAAATTAAAAACACGAAATAAAAAACTTTAACTATAAACCGAATTATAAAACTGAGCAAAACTTTTCGTAAAAACAACAAAATACTTGATTCCCAGTCGAAACGATTTACTTAAGTCTAAAAATAAATTATAATTAATAAATAATAATAGCAGCAACTATGTTATAATACTATTAATAATAATTATAATATGACACGTAAATTAAAGATAAAACAAGAAGAAAGAAAAGGACAACTGGCATAATTATGGTAATTGTAAAATAATTAAACAATGACGTAAACGTGAAAAACAAAAAAAAAAGAAAAACAAAAAAAAAGTGAAAATAATAAAAATAAATTGTTGTTATTGAATGTATTTGTATAGAAAATTATTATGATTATGACGATGAATAATAAATGATTACAAATAATAATTATTGTTCAAAAGATAAAAACAAAAAAAGAGAAAAGCCAAAAAAAAAATGCAAACAAACAAACATAAAACCACAAAACCAAAAACCGAAAAACCAAAACAAAACAAAATAATATATATACATATATATATGAGAATAATGTTTCTGGCTTCATTTTTATTCACTTTTTGACAGCGAAACGTAATACTTAGACTTTGAAAACTTTCGAATCGCTTCGCGGAGCTTTTAAGCAGCTACGATTGCCGTTTTGAAGGTTAATCCAGCTAAAATTTTAGTGAAAGCTGAGCTAAAGCTCTTTCGTTGGATCAAGCTAAATAGCTTTTTGTTATCTCCTGTTAGCTTTTAGATTAAAGCCAAACTTCTAAACAGCTTGAAAAGTATCTTGAGCAAGAATTGATATGATCAAGTTTGATTCGTAGAAAGTTCAACTTAAAAAGCTTCTGAAATCTATTTAGGGTTCAATCTTTAATGTTAAATACTGAATGGAACTTAGCCAACTCTTAATCAGGCTAAAATATATGTATGTGGCTCTAGTTTCGGTCTTAAAGACGCTTCAACAAAAACAAAACAGCTTTTAAAGTTCAAGCTCGTTGATTAGCTTTTGTTTGTCTGCTTTAGGTTATATCAGCAACTTTTGTTGTGCGTTGCTCTAAGTCAGGATTAATCTAGTGGCTCGTTTCTTTTCAGCTCGTGTCATTGTGGAAATTTGCTTCACTGACCCGATTGGCAGCAAAATGTGCGATTCAAACTTTCACTTTTTCCTTTTCAGTTATACATATCTATTTTTTTGCCTTTGTATATATGTATGTATATCCTTAATGCCAATTTCTGTAGGGGCCACAACAAGCGGACCGTAATTAGACAAGCAGCAGTGGAAGCAACAGCAGCTGCGGCTGAGTCGGGCTTGCCGAAGTGCCGGCCGAAGCTTGCCGAAGTGCCGGCCATTGGGGCAGGCAGAGCGGCGGGCAAGCGGGCAGGTGTTGCCTCCGTGTGGCAGTGGCAGTGGCAGTCGCTGTGACTGTGCCGCAGATTCAGATACGTTTCGACACGCGAAAGGGAAAGTTCGTGCAGCGCAGCAACGCAGCTACGCAGCCGGCCAAGACATCGACTGTCTGTGAACGGGCAACTGGCGACGGCCACATGCCACAGTTGCGTGCCTCATAGTCCAAGTCCAAGTGCGTGTGTGTTGGATTGTGTGTAAAAGTGTCCAAATATTTGCATAGGCCACACGGATAACGGTGCACGACGCTAACGAGCTGATGGTCAACTGGGCCCCAAAAGGTTTTTACAGCTGCGGTTGCTTTTGGCCCATAAGGCGCTGATGGTAGCTGGGGGCGTGGCACACTCAGTGTACTGTGTGTGTGCGAAAACTAATTACAAATAACACGACTCGCTTTTAGCCATGTCAGCATCTGCCGCGGCCCTGTGCACCGTGTTAATTATGGCCAACAGCATCAGCTACAAATGCCGCGACTAAGCCGCCAGGCCACGCCCCCATCCCTCCACCCACAACAACATCACAAACATTGGGCAACACGGCTTTTTACTTTATTTAAAAAAATACATATATATATGTATGTATATACATATATGTGTATGTATATGTATATGTATGTTAAACCCGTCGAAACAAAAGGTCAAAATCTAATTGAAATTGACGCGGGAATATGCCAAAAAGCGAGTGACTCGCTCGAGCTAAGCAGAAATACATACATATATTTGCTTGTATATATTCATATATGTATATATATATATATGGAGTTACACATGTATATAGTCAAACATATATTCATACACATATATACATTTATGACTGTATTGAGAATGAATTTTTTCGTCTCTAAACTTTTTTGATTTTTAGTTTTTAGTTTCGGTTTAGTTTTATTAAAATCTAATTTAGTTTTGGCTTATGCAAATATTTTTACTGTTGGAGCAGAGTTTTTACGATGGATAAAATATGTCAAAGGGTTTTATCAGAAACTACTAACTACTACTCATACTACATATATGTATGTATATGTGTTTAATATGAACTTAAGCTCGGCTATATGTTAGGTTCCTGTCAGTATATATAGATATAGACTCGTATATGTTTGATTAAGATTTAGGTGTATAGGTTTAGGATAGCTATATAGGTTTAGGATGCTGTTAATATCTGGGAAGTATTGATAGAGTACAGATATATGGATGATGTCTTTGGATTGCTTTTCCTGAACTAAGAGAATATGTATGTAGGTCTCAGGCTCTCATAGTTATCTTACTTTCCAATGAATCCCATTTTGCAGACATTCGATCTTCTTTATCTATAAGTTGATTGATTGCTAGGTTAGGTTAGTTATCTTCTCTATTGCGGCTCGCTAGGATCATGAAGTTTTGCTGATGAATCTGTGTTGATCCCCTACAAATGTATTTTAATAGATCTATATGGCTATAATAATATATCATTACATATATAACTGATATAATTGAAAGATCTTTTATTTTGAAGACTCCTACAACAGCAGGAATAAGGAATCAACTACAAAGCAATACGAATATCAAGTTCTCGCTCCCTTGAGCACCTGTAATGAAACTATTATAACTTTTGTTTACAACACTCATTAGCAAACGAAACACAATTATCTATATAAACACGGGCACATATCACATTCATTGACTCACTAACGAGCAACTCAAATCGAACCAAATTGACTTTATTTAACTTTCAATCGTGACCCGGTCCGTGTCCCTTGGCTCTCTATATAGAGCAAAGTCGATTAGGTTATTTAACTGGCAATCTAAATAAACAATTACACAATAAGTTGGCTAAACGTTTGGCCATAAAACGAGCGTTAAATAAATAATTGATAAGCCGCAAAGGCCATTAAAAAACAGAGTCAAGTAGGGGAAGAAGAAGCAGAGGAAAACTCTGCAGCAGTTTGCCAACTCAATTGCCACGCACAGATACAGATACAGATACAAATGTATCTCGACAGTGAACGTGACTAAAAAAGAATTAAGCAAAAGAAGAAGAACAAACTCAACTTTGCGTGCAAAATAAAAGGAAAGGAAATGCTTTAAAAATGTTGCATGTGTGTAGCAAAGAAGAAGAGCGTGCCACGCTAATCAGTGGCCTGCTGCTTGCTGCATTAATATTTCAATTGGCAGCGTCAGCGGCAGCGGCAGCGACACCGGCGTCGGCGTCGACGTCGCGAGCGTACAAAGCTCAGCGAGTGCACGAACCAATAGAAGCGGCAGCGCATGCTACTGTGGTGAGCAAAGCATTAGTCAAGACGCGCAGTGGTGAGTATGAGTAGTGTGGTGTATTTGAGGGTGACCAAATAAGAGCGAGAGGAAAATAAATTTGAATAAAATATGAACTCCGTAAACTACAATATTATTGCTCCAAGTTTTCTTTTGGTCACTCGAGAGTAGAGTTGATTAGTGTGGGGCGTTTCTGTTTACACTCCCGTTCACATTTCTAATGACAGCCGCAATGCAGCGCCTGCCCCGCAGCGTTTTTCATGTGCGCTGGAATCCCAATGAGAAATTCATTGTGGAGAGTCGCGAGAGTCCGGCCATCAACTCGTCCAAGCTGGCGCCACACCCACGCCTGAAGGTGTCAAAGAACACGAAACTCACGCTCAGCCCCAAGCTCTATCTGTGCCACGACAAGTACTCGAGCGAGTGCCAAAATAAGACGGCGTCCTTCCGGCGTCGCATTGTGCAGAGCTTTGAGCGCTCGATGAGCGAATCGCTGAATGATTCGAATCACTACAACGTGGACTACAAGCCCGTCTTTGGCGACAGCTTCGAGGAGCAGTATTATCCCTCGAGCTGCCTGGTCATGGAGGCGGGCGTGCGTGTCCTGCGGCGCAAGGATCCGCCGTTCAACAAGCTGCCCTTCGGTCGTCTCTTTCCGCGCCAGAAACTCTTTCGCAATGTGAAGAACATCAAGACCTGTGCGATTGTCTCCAGCGCCGGGTCGCTGGCGGGCTCCAAGCTGGGCAGGTTTATAGGTGAGTACGGAGACTAACTATGATTGACTGATTGATGATTGATGTCATTTCGACTGCCAGATAGCCACGATATAGTCATGCGCTTCAATAACGCACCCACCCGCGGCCACGAGGCGGACGTGGGCAGCAAAACGACAATTCGCGTGGTCAATTCACAAGTAAGTCGCTTGCATGGGCCATCAATCAAGGTCAGTCAACGTCAATCGATCGCTTTGCAGGTGGTCACCAAGCCGGAGTTTGATTTCGCTCATGCGCCAATCTTCAGGAACGTCACCATCGCCGCCTGGGATCCCGGCCGCTACAATGGCACCCTCGAGGATTGGCTAACCAGCGCCGACTACGATCTCTTCACCAACTACGAGATCTACAGACGTCGCTATCCCAAGTCGCGCGCCTTTCTCATCGATCCGCACTCCGTGTGGCGCCTCTGGCAGAGCCTGCAAATGTTTGCCGGCAATCGAGCCATACGTCGTAATCCTCCCAGCTCCGGTTTCATAGGTGAGTACAACAAGGAACCGCCAATGAAGCTGCATCCTTAAGCGGGAGGGCAAACTCAAGCAATGATCGTCAATTGGCATTGAGAATTAAGAATTAGAAGAACAAATCAATAAACTGTAAGACCTTCTTTCTGCTTATCCTGTTGAGTAATATTTTAAAATGCTTGGCGCAATCAGAATCCTCGACTGGCCAGAGGACATTCCAATAAACCTTTTGGCTGCTGAGATATAGAATCATTTACATTATACAAACATGCCGAGTTGAGCTTGATATATTTTAAGTTGAGCCTAAACTGCCCTTAAGCAAGCATCTAAAAGTATGCTACAAAATTTGTTTTCCACATTTTTTGGCGCCTTTTAGAATTTGAATGAAAAAAAAGCAACTAAAAGTATGCAACAAAAATTTTGATTCACCAAATTTTTCGGCTGCTTGCTGCGAATTCTGTTCGCCTGGTATTTCAGCAGAATTTCAATGGAAATCCGTGTCATTTTGCGGCTGCCAGCCATATTTTTAGATAGACAACAACAACAAATACTTTTCTACAACTTTTTATTTATTATAAATGTTATTATTTTATTGTTTAAACAAACAAAAAATCCTTAAATGTAACGTATATTTATTTAAATTGGAGGTGTTTTCAGTTGAGCCAAGAGTGCTTTTAAGCAAGCAACTAAAAGTATGTTACACAAGTTATAATTCACCAAATTCTTCGGCTACTTGCTGCGATTTCTGTTCGCCTGGTATTTCAGCAGAATTTCAATCGAAAAACGTGCCATTTAGCCGAGGGCTGGGGCAGACTTTTAACTAAATAAGCAACAACAATGTATATATATTTTATAAATTTTTTTATTTATTAAAAATGTTATAGTTTAAACAATTAAATCCTTAAATACAGCATATACTCAAAAAACAAAAAACTTAAATTTTCTTTTATATTCGCACATCGGTATGCAATACTTTCTAAGTTTTCTATCTTAATTGATATTTTCTTGTGCAGACTAAAAGTATGCTATGAAATTTTTATTCGTTTTATTTTCTATTTATTTTTTATGTATGTATAGATTGTTTTGATCGTGATTTTTCGCAGTTTAATTCATGTATAAAAATGTTAATTATTTAATAAATAAATAAATAAATTATAGTATATTTTTATATAAGCTTAGGAAATCAGTGGTTAACCAATTTCGAAAGAATAATAGTTGAGACTGAATAAACATTATGGAATAATCGTAGAACATAGGGAATATATACATATTTATTTATTTAGCTTAACGCTGTTATCCTTATCCTTTTGCATACAGTTTTATCTCCGTTCAATTTCAGCTAATTGATAGAAGTCTCTGCCTCTTAAATTTACTAATTAAAGTTAACTTTAATTCTCAAACCTTTTTTCATATATGTATATATATGTCTTCTACAAATTGTTTTTCACTTAAATTCTAGGCTTGGCTTTGCTACTTCCGCACTGTCCCCAGGTGGACTTTATAGAGTATGTGCCCTCGACGCGACTCAATGGCCGCTGCCACTACTACAGCAAAGAGGTGAGTCCAGGGGGGTATACGACTTCAACATATTCCACCTTCAACTCAAATTTATTCCAGATGAATTCCGGCTGCACGTTTGGCTCGTGGCATCCGTTGGCTGCCGAGAAGCTGATGGCCTTGGATATGAATGTGGCCGACGATATGTCCGTCTTCCAGTTTGGCATCCTGCGCATACGCCGGCCTGATAAGCTGCTTTGCGGCTTCAATTTCTTTGGTTACTGATGCCACAGCGTCCATTTCGTCCTGCAGGATCCACGGCGTCCAGTGACAATCAAATGTGCATTTAATCAAGCGGTTTTCACACACACACACACACACATACAAGTTTCGAGTGGCTGCAATGAGAGTGAGTTGCGGCTGCTGTTAGTAAATATTTGCGATCAATAAATAATTTATTTGCCTATACTTGCCTGTGGGGTGCGCCCCAAAGGCGGAAGCGGGAAGACCCTTGGGGCGGGCAGGGCACTGCCATCCACGCCCACGCCCACTTTGGCGTTCTTTATGATGGACAATGGGAGCCAGTTAAGTGCCTGTCGCACTTGATTCTGATTGTTTTCTTATTTGTTTACAGCGATTCTCCAGGGACTTGCAATCAGCTCGGCAGCTCACTTGAGTTGAACGACCTGCAGTTACCCTATAAAAATTAATTGAAATTGATAAGTGAGTTTCAAGTTGGTAGTTATATAGCTAGCCTAGAGCTAATGTGAAAGTAATTACTAGGACTAGACTAAGAGATACCCTATAAATATAAAACATATCCCTTAAGCTTGCATTCCATCATAAATTCCATATTTAACAAAAGAGAGAGTTAGAGGAGGTTTTTATGGTAGTGTTAGAAGATACCCTGTAAATTTAACTTTGTTTAATAAAAATGATAAAATACCCTGTAAAGCCATCGATAAGCTACAAGGAATAATTCACAAACAGCTAACGCTGCTATGCATACCCCACACACACTTCAAGTGCAGGGTATCCCGTTGAGTGCTGCATGCTTCAACCATTAAATGCCATAACTGTTGTCTACAGAGCGAAATTATATATATTGTGTATATATACAAAATTATTGTCAAGGGGGCGCAAAAGATACAGAAACAGTGGAGTTTATGGTTTTAAGGGGCGTGGCAATGAGAGGGGCGGGGGGGAGGATGTGGGAGGTGCTGAAGAGGCATTGCTCATTAATACGTGCTGCGGCAGCGGAAACGTGACCGGCATTCAAAACAGAAGACCCAGACTCAGACCGAGAAGAGACCAAGCAGCAGGCCCACGAAAAACAAAAATAAAATAAATAAACAGACGAAGAGCAGCAGCAGCAGCAGCAGCAGCAGCGGCAGCAGCAGCAGCGGCAGCGGCAGCAGCTCACCGAAAAAGGTGGGGAAAAATGAAGACGAAAAATGACGACGGCACTCGAGGTAAACGCGGCGTATGCGCAATATTTGCGAATTAAATGGAATACAGGATTACGCGACCAAATAAAAAACAAAACAGAAAAAAAAAGAAAAAGTAAAACACAAAATGTACAAAGATGAAAATTGACATTAAAGCAAACAACGCATTGAACCAGGAAACCGCAAGCCAGGCAGAACTGTTGAAATTTCAACAGAATTTCCAGTACGAATTTCAGGTGTTTCGCCTGGCCGATTGCAAATGCAGTCCAAATAAACATGGAACGGCATTCTTTATTGTTGTTGTAGTTGTTGTTGTTGGTTGTCATGCGAATTTTGGCAGCTCTATATGGCGCAGACTGCAGGGGCGTCAGTGGTTCATCTAACCAGGCGGTGCCAAAAGCGGTTCGCATTTCATATTTGCATTCCGAAACAACATTTTTAGGGTGGCTTTTGTTTGACAAATGCAAATAGCCAGCATTGTCGCACTCTCTCTCTCTATCTCTCTCACCAGGTGTCGTGCCATCTCTTTCGACTCTCTACTGTCTCTGCTGGTCATCTGCAGTTGTTTATTTGGCTGTCCACGTTTAGCCACAGCAAAAATTTGTTGTTATGCTTTGCTTGATGATTGCCTTTTGCACTTGCGCGTTCATTGAACGCTGAACGTGATCGTAATGCTCAACAAAAACAACTACAATAACAACAACAATCAGCATTGAAAATATTATGATTATTAATTGTATATTTATATGGCCATAAAATGGAACTCAAAGACCAGCAAAATGCACGCTCTAGCCACAAAAATATTCCCCATTTCCAAGAGAAATGCCAAATACGAGGAGATACCAAAGGAATTTTAATGCTTCAAGCATGCAGTAGAGTGCGAATGAGTGGGCGAGAAAATATGGGGAGTGTATGCAATGGGAGTCCTTTAAGTTGGCCTAAAATGAACTCCTTTTTAGTTAGATGTATTTCAGATTAAAGTGGATTATGGAAATGTTTAATAATAGCACATATTAAGCATTTTCATTAGAATGTGTATCTAAGAAAAAGCTTTGAAAGGCGATATAATATGATGGGAGACAATTGAGTAAGTATACAAATTGTGTAAGTATTGTGCATTGTATATTGACTTCCATATCTTGGGATATCCTATATATATTAGTCAGTAGATCTCATATCTAGCTCAACATTTATGTATACTGAAAACTTTTCAAACCAGATTTCCAACTGAATCCAATAAAGAAAATTCTACAGACCGAATAGTATATTTTTATATTTTCTTCTCTTTTTGGCAATCGCTTCTTTCTTTGAGAACAAATTCTTCTCCTACCTTTTACGTGGAAGTCTTCTTAGCGTTTCATAGCTCGCTTATGCATAACTGAAATCTTCCCGGGTTGATTAGGGCTTACGTATTAGATAATATAAAATTCTTTCTGATAGAGCTAAGATTATTAACGTTAAAAATTGATGAGCTTAAACGCAATTTAATCGAACTTTGACCCATTTGCCAATTTACTACGATAGCTCAGAGTAACTCCTAGAGCTCTTTACATTTACATATCTAACTTGTGCATTCTCACCTCATCCTCACGCTAGATGGCTAAAAGCAATATGACTACGGCATAAGATGTGACAGCAATGATTAGCAAAGCAAATGTAATTATTGTGCAAACACGAATTTAGAATTCGTAAAAGCCATTAACTGATAGATGAGTATGCAAATTATAGAGAATATATACGTACATATACATATATAGATATAGATAGGCGGCAATTGTAGCCATTGTAGCCATTGTTGTTGTTGCTGTTGAAGTGCATAAGGAACGTGGCTAATTGGCTTAGGCTTAGCTTAACTGAGCTCAGCTCGTGTCGCTCGCGCTTATCAGCAATCAGAGAGTGTTTCAATTTTTAGCGGATATGCGGATATATCGATATGAATATCTATATTATGTATGGACAGACGCGACTAATTGAGCAGCGGCTCAAAACTGAAACTGAGACTGAGACAGAGACTGAGACTGAGACAGAGGCTGACGCTTAGTCTGACTCCTGATCGAGCTGTTAGCCAAGTTAACAAGACACGTGATCGGACAGCTAAAAGCAGCCGCTGCACTCGTTTCTATGTCCGATGCATATTCGATTCAGTTCAGATCTCGTTTGTGCTAAATGACAGCTCTGGTCATCGCAGAGGGTCAACATTGACAATGTCTGGCTTTAAAAAGTTTTTTTCAACTTTTTTTTATTTTATTTATTTTTATTTATTCTTTTTTTTTTTTTTTGCTTGTCAAGTGAATTTGGCTGCGCTTCAATGTTGTTGCTAATTGGAAACAGACCCCAGCACGAATTATCTATTCTCTGTCTCCGCCTACTGCTACCCCTGCTCGGCTGCTTCTTTTTCTTCTTCAACTGCCCTCAATCAGTCGGCGAGTCATCCGCACTCTTGAGCAACTGCGATACTTGATTGAAAATCCAGCGATTCGCATTAAAAATTTTGTTTATTTCTCTTTTTTTTCAACCCAAAATGTTTCCCTTTTGCATTAAAGTGAATTTTGTAGTCGAGCGTAGCCGACTGTTTAGTGCCCGTTCAAGTTTTGCAATGTTGAATCATTACTCTATTGAACTAATCTAAATGTAAAAACCAATATGCCCCACTTTTACATTGCGATCTATGTATATAACAAAAATTTTTGTTTATTCATTTGTCGTCTGGTTTTTTTTTTGGGCGAAAGCATTGCTCAAGATATTTCTGAGAAATGCTGCGCTAGTCACATATTGTTCAATATGAATTATGAATTGTATTGTCTTATGCATGTGTGAGAACAAAAGTGCGTCTCATGATGCATCTGGGCGGGTCCTACGATGCGACCACAACACGTACCAAGAGCTAAAGCCAACAGAGGCGAGACCTGGCTGAGCCAGACAAAGGTGGCTCAGACACGCAGCCGGCTAAAGTCAAGGTTAGTCTGCTCCGACTGCACAAACCACGCGAACGGACGACTCAAGGTCATAATAACGGTAAATAGTAAATGATTCATGATCATATTATATCAGCTACATGTTTTAAAGAGTTTGAGCATTCATTAATCGAATTTGAGGTAATCAGAAAAAGGGAAATTGTTGATTTATAGGCATTCTATGTTTGATAAGCTTATCTTTAGTGTTGCAGTGCGTCGAAAATGTAGAAGAATGATTTCCTTAACAATTTATGATAGCTAAGAGACAGATTAGAGATATAATGCGGTAAAACATATATTGATTTATGCATGCCCATGACAGTTGTTCTCGATTCTCCTTTCTCTTCTTTACATTCTATCCAAGATTGCACATGGCCAAATAGACGCCTAAAAGTATGCTTAGCAAATCCACGGAACAAATGGAAATGAAACGCTAGGCACGTCTCACTGATATTTATGCTGCCCTCACCCAATATATTCCATTTGAGCACTACAATAGAACATTCAGAACGATAGAGCTATTAATTTGTTCTATTATCTCTTTTATTTTATTTATTTATAGCTCTTCCTTGCAGTTAATATTCTAGATATGTTTAAGAGAAGAAAAGAAAAGGATTGGCTTTTGATTTGTGCGATTTGATTTGTCAAGTTGATTTCCTGATTGCATTATTCATTGCAACTAAAGAGCTCGATTTATGTCGCATTTGTTTCATTTCCATATTGTTCATTCGCTCTTTGCGTTACAAAGGAGCAATTAAATGCAAAGAAAAGCAAACAGCAGGAGGTGAAAGAAGAAGAAGAAGAAGAGGCTGCAGCAGTAGCAACAACTGGTGAAGAATGGGGACATTCCTGCACGTTTCAATACGTATAAATCAAAACATAAGAACAATATAAAATGAAATTTAGCTGCGACAATAACAGCAGCGACAACAATAACAACAACAACAACAGCAGCAGCAGCGGTAAAGCGAACCAATTGAGACTTTGAAACGGCGCGCATATCAAATGATTCAGCGAGACGAGACGAGGCAGATAAACGAGAGAGAGTGGGCGAGCGAAAGAGATAGTGCGAGGAGATTTTTTAATACTAATGCAATTTGCGGCCTCTCATATCATTTTGGTCAGCAGGAATTTCAGCTCCAGTTCTTATCGAGCAGTGCGTCACAGGAATGAGTCAAGGCGATCGCCGCCTGGCTCCGTGCCAGGCAGAGAGAGCGAGAGAGCAAGAGTGTGGAGAGAATGCAAAGAGAACATAAACTAGAGATGAGACTTTAGGCAGCTCTAAGGCTAAATGC